CCCCAAAACCCCAAAACCCCAAAACCCCGCAGGGAAGATAGAATTAGCTGGGAAATAATAGTGATAGAAGTCTGATAAAAAGTGAGTGCGTCATGATTATTCTTACAATATATACAAATACAATCATTTACTATAATTATTTAATAATCAATAATTTTCTTTCTACTACTCAACATATATAAAGATGATGTCCTAGAATCTATTACCAATCTAGTAAGCTGTGGAGATGCATTTACAGCACCATTTTAACTTCGATTTTGCTGACGTTGCCAAAGCTTTCCTCTTAAAATACAATTTGGAGAACAAATTTTGCTTTACAACTATTGCATCCACACGTCAACTTGACGAAGATAGATTTGAAATCGTTCGCCGTATGGAGAACGTGATGTCATCTCGCCCTGTTTACGAGCGCATCATTTTCAATCGTAAGATGATGGCTGTCTAGGGTTTCACTTTTGAAACTGAAAATTAAAACGTTTACACCGAATGCTATTGCTACAAGCAAGATGATAAAGACTCGTAAAAAACCATTTATAATATGTTCCTCTATAAGAACCCAGGGCTAAAAAAGATGCTTAGGTTTAAACTGCACAACTGGGGTGTGTAAACCCTTGAAAATATCATTAAAAAAGATCACGATTTGATTGCCAAATTGAAGGATAGCAAAGACAAGATGATTGAGAAAAAAGACAAAATTATAAAAGAAGGTCAGGTCATCATTAAAGAGGGTCAGGTCATCATTAAAGAGAGAATCAATGATCTCAAAACTTTTAAGTCATCAACATTCAGCAGCGCTAAGGAAGAAAGCACACCCTCGACTATGAAAGATAGCAAAAGCTTATGAGACTTAAATTCTCAGCCAGACTATCACTGTTAATGAATTGAAAAGTTAACAGAATATATGTAAATGTAATAAAGTCAATTGACTGCCTGAAAGATTAAGATATATTTAAGCTATATTCTTCATTAACAATCTTTTCCCACCCCCCATTAATTATTCTTTAATCTAGCAATTACCCTTTTGGGGTTTTGGGGTTTTGGGGTTTTGGGGTTTTGGGGTTTTGGGGTTTTGGG